ATGTGAGCTTTTGGTAGCAGACGACTTCCACAAGTGGTGATAATAACAATAGTCACCGAGTCTCATTAAATGTCGTATATTGCGGTAATATACACATTTTCATTAATCCATTTCCCTGATATTTTTTTTAAAATTATATAATAAACACGATACATAACATAAAAAGATGATAAATACACCCCACAATAGAATAAATAAACATAAAAAATAAGATGTGGGAGCCTGGTTTGTTTACATAACTCTGCGCCTGTTACCTCTCAATGTACTCATTCTTTCTCTCTCTCATTATTCGTTTTATCTCATTTACTTACTCCTGACCCTACATTAAGACTACAAATATTTTAAGGTAAGTAATGAGTGGGAAATGTATATACATTTTAAACGCTCTGGGATGCTTAAATATCATAGAATAGTAAGTGTGGGTGGGGTGGCCTGGTGAGGGAGCCTGGCTATTACAATACATACCACACTTGATTTCTTACAATAAAAACTACTTGTCTCACCCTGATTAAGAAATATAAATATTTTAAGGTAAGTAATGAGTGCACTATGTGTGTAAATTGTACTTTTTTATTGTTTTTTGATGCCTGGTTCTATTGCTAACATAATATATGTTAGTGTAAACTTGTTATCTAGTGTTTGTATGCATTTGTAAGTGGAAAAAAAGGTGTTCCACTTTACGGCGGTTTCCGCTTTACGGCGGTAGCCTGGAACCTAACCCGCCGTATAAGTGGGGCCTTCCTGTACTTTAAAGCAGTGTTCCCTAATGTACAGTTTGTGATTTTTTATCACCTGGGTCATGGAATACTATTCAATGGATTGCAAGGTTTGTAATACATGTATTGCTGTCACGTTAGTACATATATCAACATAATTCTTAGATAAGCTAAGATAAACTATAAATAACAAAAAAAGGCACAATACCATGACTGGAACGATACACAAATAACCCGCACATAAGAGAGAAGCTATCGACGATGTTTCGGTCCGACTTGGACCATTTACAAAGTGCGACTCTGTAAATGATCCAAGTCGGATCGAAACGTCATCGTAAGCTTCTCTCTTTTATGTGCAGGTTATTTGTGTAAGATAAACTATGTGATATCCAGTTTTTGCATGAATATTAATAAGCAAAATACAATATCACTATACAGTACTAAATTAGCCACACTATGCCAGCTAAGTACAGCCTGTTTTAGGAGTGAGAACTGTTCATTATAATAAATTATTTCAGTGCCACTTGTACACACAGTAGACTATTGAGCAGCGCTATATGACCCCTTGTGGGTTTAGTACAGTTGACCCCTGGTTTTTGTAATTAATCCATTCCAGAAGGCTGGCCGAAATGGCTGAAAACCGAAGTAATATTTCCTATAAGAAATAATGCAAATCCAATTAATTTGTTTGACACCCAAAACTATTAGGAAAAATTACATTTTTTAATGAATAACTATAGTTTTACATACAGAAAACAATGAGAAAGAAATACAAAGCACTAATTTTAATGATAAATGAACATTAAATACCTTTATTGAAGACTCTCCCCTCAAGGAAGGTTCCTTGATGTTGGTGAGGGGCTCTTGATTTAGGAAATTGGATCTGTGCTCCAGTTCCTTGAATTAAGCCTGAATGCCTTCCACATCCCTCCCCAGGCGCTGTATAATCCTCCGGGTTTAGCGCTTCCCCTTGATTATAATAATAATAAATTGAAGACTCTTGTTGGCATATGGAGGGCAGAAGGGGAGAGTTTATTGTTTGGAAGGGAAATCGCCCTCTCTGGGGTTACTTCCCTTGTCTTTTACTGCCACTAGGACCAGCTTGAGAATCACTGTACCCCTGTTGCACAAAAAAATTTGTCCAGAGAGGCCTGTTTCTGGCATCTCTAAGATTTGCCTAAAATGGGATAAGACATTGTCACTGAACATGTTGCAGACACAGCTTGCAACAGTTTTGTTAGAGTGATAATTCTCCACAAAACTTTGCAACTCGCTCCACTTTCCACACGTCCTTAATCACTGAAGAAGGCACATTCTCCCCCTCTCTTCCTTCTCTGAAACAATATCCTCAGCTGCAGTCTGTTGCTGTTCCAGTTGAAGGTGCTGCAGCTCTTCAGTGGTTAGCTCTTCCCTGTGGTCCTCCAACTTTTCCACATCCTCACATCACACCAACCCCATGGACTTCCTCAAAGACAATAGATTCCACAGTAGGCATAGGGTCATCAGGGATCAGCCTCAAACCCTTCAAAATCCTTCTTGAGGACACATTCTGACCACAATTTTCTCCAAGCAGAGTTCAAAGTCCTGGAAGTCACTCCCTGCAAAGCCTTATCTATAAAGCTTAAGCAATTGAGGATATGGAGGTGATTCCTCCAGGGTCAATTCAGTGTCCAAGGTCACTTCAAAGCACCTTTGAAACATTGCTTCGGTGTACAGTTTTTGAAGACTGAAATGACCTGCTGGTCCATGGGCTGGATGAGAGGAGTGGTATTAGGGGGCAAGAACCTCATTCTGATGAAATTACACTCCTCAAACAATAGGTCTGGAGGATGAGCAGGAGCACTGTCCATTACCAGGAGGCACTTGAGTAGCAAATTATTTTCCAGGAGGCATTTCTTCACACTCAGGCCAAACACCTCATTAACCCACTCAATGTAAAATAGCCTTGTGACCCATGCCTTATTGTTAGCCTTCCACATCACACACAATTTACTCTTCACGACATTGTTTTTCTTGAACACTCGGGGATTTTCAAAGTGATACACGAGTAAAGGCTTCACTTTGAAATCCCCAAAAGTGTTACCACAGAAGAAGAGTTAGTCTATCCTTCATAGGTTTGTGTCCTGGCAGTGCCTTTTCCTGTGTGATGTAGGTCCTCTTTGGCATTTTCTTCCAAAAGAGGTCTGTTTCGTCACAATTGAACACTTGGGGGAGGAATTCAACAACGAATGCCTCGCCATGCCTTACCACACTGTGCATGCCACTTCGCTTCTTGAATCTGTCGCACCAGCCCTTGCTGGCCTTAAATTCACTAACAGCAGCACTTATTCCCGGCATTTCCTTTACGAGATCCGCATGCAACTGCCTTGCCTTCTCCCAATTATCCCCTCCAAAACACTATCTCCTGCTAGCTGTTTCTCATTCATCAATAACCAAATTTCTGTAAACTCAGCATTGTAATCCTTATAGAGAATAAACTTGAATTGAATTGAATTGAATCCAAACCAACAACTTCTCCACATTCTCAATTGTTTTGCAATCCCTGTTTCGTTAGCATATACATATACCCCTTTTGCAACTTCAGCTTCCTTGATTTCTGTTTTCTTCACCAGGATGGAACTGATTGTTGATGTCAACTTGCCATGCATCCTAGCGAGCTCAGCCACACATGTGCTACTTTAATATTTTGCTACAACTATCGGGTTTCTCACCTTCTTTACCAAAGGGCTGGCACTCTGAACTTTCTTTGGCCCCGTGGTGGCTTATTTCATAGTTGTAATCAATGAACAAGCACCAAAAACAATGGATGAAGGCACGGAGTATTCCTATCACAACAAGAGACGAGCAGTTTAAGTGTGAGAAGCGGTGTCGCCGGCAAGTGGACAAGTCTCATACCAACGAAATCCGGGGGGGAATTTCACCAAAAAAAAAAACAAAAAAAAAAAGTGCTCAATTTCTAAATTGTACGATTTCCACACCAGCCAAAAACCAGAGGTCCACTGTACTTAGTTATGATTATTATAACAGCCAACTGAATGTGGAGAATGACAATTTTATTTACAGTTGAGGTGGGGATACAGCTGTATCTTGGGTCTTGATTTTTTCTTACCCCAAAAGTGAAATAAAGAATCATCTGTATCTGAAAGTAAAGCAGATTCAATTAGGCCTGTAGTAGAAAACTAAGCAATAATAGAGAGGCCTCTGTGAAGTCAGTCATACAAAGCACTTACACAAAAAAAAAGCTAAATCATACAAAATGCATGCAAGTGATGTGTTTGAGTATGGTTTTATCAAGTGTGAAAAGGGAAACCAAGATTCCAAGTTATGATGTGCAATTTATGATGTTCTTTGTATGTCAATGTACTCTTAAAAATTAAATTGATGTCACTGGCAGTACACTGAGAATGACAAATCAATTTCCAATAAATATCCACTCATTTTACATGAAATTTGTAATAGTTTCCTATTATAATAATGAACATGTGCAAATTTTCCAATGACAATGGCAATACCCATTATAGAAGGAAGGTAAATTGCAAGGTGATGTTTTTCTTGCTGTTGTGGCTTTGCTAGAATAACTGTTATGTCTAATGTTTAAATTATGTTAAAAAAAAAAAAAGCCATATCCCACCAAGACAAGGTGAGCTATAAAGAAAAACAAAAGATATTCTTTTTAAATTTAGTAATTCATACAGGAAAGGGGGTTACTAGCCTCTTGCTCTTGCTCTCAGCATTTAAGTCGCTTATGACATGCAGCTGTATAGCCCTTGTGGCTTAGCGCTTCTTTTTGATTATAATAATAATTATGACATGCATGGTGTATGGAGGAAGAATTCTATTCCACTTCCCATGGAGATACCTATTAATATCGAATATTTCTTACAGTCACAAGTGGCTGAGATATTCAAAAATACTGCTTTAAAGAACACAAGATCTCCAAGTACTCACTGTTCTTCCCTGGTGTCTTTGGCCTCCTCTGGATCAGGTGTAGCAAGTGGAGCTGAACAGGATGCAAGATGGTAACTCATAAATACTGTACCAGCAAAATTTTATACAAATGTCAAGCAATGATGTATGAATCTCATTATAAGTGTCTTAACATAAAGCAATCTATCATCATGTAAACTTGTCTTTTCATGTATATGCTTGTTTCATAAACTGAATTATGTACAGTATATTATGTACTCAAGGACTCGATGCACTACAGCAAATGGATATACATTCCCTGTACTGTGTTGGTAGTAGTAGATACATCATGAGGATTTTATAATAAACAAAAAGCAATCCATTTAACATTTATTAAAATTCTTATAGGTCTACTTAAAATTACATGGATAAAAACATTGAATACATCAATATGTATCAGGTTTAAATGACCACAACAATGATCACACTCAGCAAATTGTACAGAGATTTGAATTTACACTTAACCCAGAATTTAATTTGTTTTTCTTGAAGGCATTTACTTGTGGATGAATTACTGTACATAAAATCTCCAGTGAAAGTTGTGTGTTCACCTGACTTCTGCTGATTCAAAAGCAAACCAAGAAGAATGTTATAACCACCTGAATTAAGTCCTTTAACACTGATACTAGTCAGTTTACCATACCTATAATGGACAAAATCAATTTATTATAATGCATTTTCCATTACATTACAAGGCTTGAGTATTTTGAAATCTAATAGAATACAAATGAAGAAAGTTATTTACAATACAAAACTGTGGCCAATAGGATACTTCATTTAAATTTGTTCATTAAATCTTCATAAAAACTGACATGGAAAAATGTCTTCCAGTGTCATAACATTAGGATGAAGGACTAGACCATCCTTATCTAAGTGTATAGGCAGACAACACAGCCAAGGCAGGGGACAGCAAGGAGGCACACAGGCTGGCTAGAGTGTTATAGGAGGAGGCACATATTCCAGACATCAGCCAGTGCCCAACAAGCCCTGCTGTCAGCCTCCCCATAGGATGCTTTGTGAGCAGGACACTAAATAAAGCTCTTAAGGTTTCTCTTTGAATAAATCTTTAACCAGTTAAGACTGTACATCATTGGTTGAGCTGAGATAGGCCTGCAACAATGTTCCAAGACCTACATTATCATAAAAAAAAAGTCAAGAAACAATGTCACAAGTGACATGAAATAAGGCTAAAAGAAATGTGTAACTATCACAAGACCTCCAGTAATACCTTAAGAGAAGGCCTGCAACAGTGTCAAGACATCTGCAGCAATGTTACACGATACATGAAAATGTCACAAGACATCTATAACAAAGTTATGAGACCTGTAGCAATTTTACAAAACCCCTGTGACAAGTGTCACAAGAGGTCTGCAACAATAGCACAGGAGACCTGTAACAGTGTTGCAAGACTGCTAATATTGTTATGAGACTTGAAACAATGTCACAAGATGTCTAAAAAAAAAATATCACAAGAGACCTGCAATGGTGTTGTAAGACTCCTTCAATAGTGTTACAAGATACCAGAAACTATCAAAACAAACCTGCAACAGCATTGCAATAGACCTGCAACAGTGTCACAAGAGATCTGCAACAATGTCAGGAGGCCTAAACTCTTTTGATGATATATGTAAAGCTATGTGACCTGTGATACCTAAAAATGGAATGATTAAGACAGCACACCTATTCAACAATGAGGACTTGCAGCATAAAGGCTTATTAGGATAACCAGTGACAGTAAACTCGCATTTCAACTCGGTGTATAAATACGCATTCTTCACTTACACAATTAGTGACCGACCACCTTTCAAACTTATTACCATGCCCCTAAAAGATTTACACCCTTTCTAAGGCACAATAACCAACAGATGAAGAGCAACAATTCCATGCAGATCATTAGGGCTATATCACATGAACTACAACCAATGAAATTAGCCCAACTGGTATGCATCAAATTACTGCTGTACATCAATTAGTTAAGGCAATTCGGGAGTAATAACGTTTGGAGACTAGGAAAGGGTGATCATAATAGGATTTGTATCTCTTCCACAAAATATACACCCACACTAACATACAACTGATTTAGAGCCTGTGCTATCACTAATTTCCTGAATGATTCAAAGCCCTCAACTATTCAGAATCTGTGCACTGATTTTTTTTCAAGTGATGTTAAATAAGTAATATTCTGTTCAACTCTAGTCAAAAATTAATTCCTGCTCACACATCAGTGTTCTTTTTTGCTTTGATTTCATCCACTTGAGTCTGTTCCAAGTTTCCATTGCCATTGACCACTGTGTTGTCAGTCTTGCCGTTGACCTGGTCTGTAGAGGCCTTAACAGCATCGTTGGCTGTGCCATTATCAGTTTCGTTGCGCTCAGGGTCTTGGATGTGGGCTTTACTCTCGGCACGCGAGGCTGTGGCAGACCGGGCCAAGGGTTAGTCAGGCAAGTGCTGAGCAAAGGTTGTTGGAAAGAAGGGCTTGCTATGTGCCACCTGCATTGCTCCTACATTAAGCACCAGAAGCTACATTCATCACTAATCACTACTATATACAGTACATTAAAGGAGGAGGACAGGTGGCAAAAATTTAAACATTACTGTATATAGAATTAAAATAACTTTAAGGTCTTAAGATCATTTTTGAAAAACTAATAATAAAAATGCCAACTTTACTATCAGACAACCTTTGCCTTCAGTGGCAAATTGATAAAATTTATTTAAATAAATGTCACATTAATAAGATGCAGCAAAGCTTTTTTTTAACCAAGCCATACAAAAAAAAATATTTAAAAAAAAAATGGCAGCTAATGCTAACCAAATTGTCTTAAGTGTCAGTACTGTGACGAATCATTTACAAACTGGATATAAAAACTAGACACTTTGGACCATCTGGAACCATTATAAAGTTAAGAATGAAAAAGAAAAGGAAGTCAGTTCAGGGAATTGGGAAGCAAAAATACAATGTGACAAGTGTTCTCCTCACTTCTGAATGCCCTAACCTGACTTCTTTCCTCTCTTACTTATGACCTGACAGTGGTCCAAGACTGCCCAAAATATTTTCTTTCCAATTTGTGGGTTAGTTGTGAATTTGTCTTAATACTACCATATATTTTCCTGTAAATTAAGAAAGTCAATGAATGCTAAATTTGATTGCAAATAAAACCAGGGTTATACCATTGATACACAATGATCAAAGATTTTAATCACCACACCAGAAAATGCCAGCCTACTATAGATTAGAGTAACCCATGCACTGATGAAACATCAGCAGCAATTTCTTTTAACCATTAAGATATTAACTAAAGCAATCCCTTACCAATGAAGGTTTAAAGTTAAATATACTGTGGAATGAATAACTGGACAGATGGTGAAGTGAGATAATTTGGAGAAAATTTAAGCCAAGGTTTTGCCAGCCAAACACTTGCCATTCTCTGCCCAAATTCTTGACCTATGCAAAGGCCAAAACCCAAGGAGGAGTCACACCACATGTTATTGTGGGATTCCTGTATATCTAAATTTCAGGTACTCTTAATTGTCACTCATGATGTATCTACTCATTTTACCTTCACATTATCTGACAAATATAGACTTAACATGCATATCATGCAAGTGGTCTGGCTCTCATATTTTTTTTAATATAATACTACTGAAGGTTTGAAATAATTTATTAGTTATTTATTCTTAATAGTAAAATGATAAACATGCATTCAAAATTTTCAAACTGTTCTCAAAGATTTTGCTCATAAATAGGTGCAAAGTTTCAGAAGAAATAGAGCTACTTGTATTACCAAACCACATTACAAGATAATACATATACTGCATAATGAAATCCTTGGAAAGAGAAAAATACACAAAGCTATTATAAATGTGGAGAAGTATTTCATGTTCAAATTTGTAACTAAGATTCAAACAGGTTTGTGTCATGCATAAAAATCAAATGGCAATGGCCAGAACACACCCAAGTATTAAACACCACTTGTACTAACAGTACAGTACAGTACATGCAAACACACACTCCATATGCATGAAAATGTAGAATGAGAAAGAAGCTAAACCACAAAAGAAAGATAAATGCACTACAAAGACTATTCTCTGTTAACACTATGGTACTGTATACCAAAATTATCACCCACAAACTATCAGCGAGTTTTGAATGATTAATATTATACTACTTTTAATGCTTTTAACACTACAGATGCAGTAAAACCCTGCCAATTCATATAATTTCCCTATGTATACCATTTTCTACTATGACAGGTCAGTACTAACCTGACACACTAGACCAATTTATCCCTAAACCTAAATATGTATGACACAAGGGTAATATTACTAAAAAAAATTAACTTGTTAAGCAAACAAAGAACTGCAAGATATATGGGTCGTACAGCAAAACTAAATGAAATGAAGCCAGGAAATGGTCAATACCAATATTACTGTATTGCATTTACAGGCTCCAGCTTTAACCTAATAATTATATCCAACTTCAGATACATAAAATAAATATTAAATTCAAAATAAATAAAATACAAATACACACACACAACACACACACCACTGAAAGCAGTTAGCATAAAAAATGGACCTAGGTACATGTATATATTGATAAACAAACTTTAAATACAAAGCAGACAAAACATCAACCTGGCACCTGATTTATCTAACTTTAATCTGTTAACTCTTTCAGGGTCCATCCCAAAGATCTACGGCTTTACGTTCAGGGTCCAAACTGTACATCTACGTCATGAGCTCAGCTCACTCTGATAAACTGTGAGTGGTACATTTGGGCCTAAATATGAGAGAATACATCTATGTGGTATGTGTGCACCACATAAAACAAATCCTGCAGCACATTGTGTATAATGAGAAAAAAACTGAGACCATGATTTTCGATTAAAACAGCGACTTTGCAGTGTTTTTTCGTATGCTTTTTATATTTGTATTTGCGATTTCTTGGTCTCATTTGATAGAAAGGAAGACATATTACATAAATAGAGATGATTTTGATTGGTTTTGCACTGGAGAATGCTGAAACTGGCTCAAGTAGCAGAATGTTAAATTTTTGCTGATGTTCAAGAGTAAACAAGAAACCTCACACGTCTAATACACGCCAGCTCGTGGGTCTAATATACATTCACAAATGTGATGATATGCAATACTGTAATAATTGTATAAATAACAGTAAATCTTCTATTTTTTGGTGTGAATAAAAATTCATTATGTGAATAAAAAACCAAAATGGAATCTATTTGTAAAGCCTCAAAATGTAACTAATGAACAGAGGAAATGGTAGTTTAGTGCCAGGAATACCTACATTGTTTATTCTGGGCCCTATTTTGAAATTGGAATATTTTGTAGTTGAAACAGTTGACTTGGTGATTTCTTGTGCTCAATCGATAGAAGTAAAACTAGTGAAATAGCTAAGAATTTGGTCGACTGGAATAATGTAATTGGCCTGAAATGGGAGTCAAAGTTGGCAAAATCGCCGATTCGTAAATATCGCTGACACATCAAAATTAGCGAGAGCATAATTTCGTCAATTTTCCATCAAATTTCGTACTTTTTGTTTTATTACCTTCACAAAAGGATTCTCAAGCATTTCATAAGAAAAAATAACTATTTTTTTTTTTTAATTCTTGGACACTGGGGCACCACTTCAGATTTTGGCCTTGGACCCTGAAGGGGTTAAATATTCTGCTCCTTGTGTAAGTTGATGCACAAGTTTTTTAAGCCATTATGTACACTTACCATATATTATTTTTTTTTCATTTTATCTTAATTTTTATTTTGCCCATTCAATTTTTAATCTTGTTTTCCCTTTTACATATTTAATTAATTTCTTGTTGTAACAGAAGTCTTGCTTGAAGTGCTGAGAATAACATGGGCTTTGTCCACTATCATGTCTAATACACATCTGTATTTATTTTTACAAGTAAAGATTTATATGTATTTGATTTTGTACTTGTTTTCTGCATGCCATCTTCTGAGAAGCTATTTTTCTTACTTTAACCACACAGTGATTGCAATATTCTCATGAAATCGTAATGACACGATTGCAAACAAACCATACCACGGGCGGGGATAGAACCCGCGATCAGAGAGTCTCAAAACTCCAGACCGTCGCGTTAGCCACTGGGCCAGCTAGCCACAATAAGATTCGTCCAACTTGGTATATTTCTACACCATAGGAAGATTAGCATAGGCACCACTGTGACCACAAATGCAAGTTTTTACAGACGAATCTCCAACTAGCGTGGCTGTGACGAACTCTAGCTCAAGTCCCCTCAAAGCCGTCAACATGACTCATGAAATCGTAATGTATTTGTGGTCACAGTGGTGCCTATGCTAACCTTCCTATGGTGTAGAAATATACCTAGTTGGACGAATCTTATTGTGGCTAGCTGGTCCAGTGGCTAACGCGATGGTCTGGAGTTTTGAGACTCTCTGATCGTGGGTTCTATCCCCGCCCGTGGTATGATTGCAATATTCTGCTAAAATATTGATAGATACAGATAAATTCAATACAATGCCTCCAACACCAATATAGACCGAATGCCCACCTACCCTCCTTCCAATGGTGGCCCATGGCCTGGTAGGCAATGCTCTTGCTTCACATGCCAAGTGTCCATGGTTCGATCCCCAACAAGGGTGAAAACATTCAGTGTGTTTCCTTACACTTGTTGTTCCGGTCACCTAGCAAGCAAGTAGGTACCTGGGTGTTAGTTGACTGGTGTTGATCTCATTCTGGGGGACAAGATTGAGGACCCCAATGGAAATAAGACAGACAGTACCTCAATGACACTGTGTTTTTTGGTTTATCATGGGTGGCTAACCCTCTGGGGTTAAAAATTCGGACAAAATCTTATCTATCTTGATGCCTGCCTACATGTGTGAGGGGTTTTGTTTATCCCTGTAGCACAGTCTGAGGCCAAGCTAGCCCTATAGACTGCATGGTAAACCAGGATGTTGACTGGGCAGCCATGACAAACCATTTCAACAATATTTTTATGCGAGTAATTATTGCTGTATAACTCTTACATATTTAACACTTGATAACAATAATGCTGTTTAGTGATAAACTGTTGTATCTGCATTCCTCTGGTAAGACAGTGATACAGTAAATGATGGTGAAAGTTTCTTTTTCAGGTCACCCCTGCCTCAGTGGGAGACAGCCAGAATATTAAACAAAAATGCATTCAACCTGTATGCGGAAAGACTGATGGGAACTATTGGTTAAGAGGAGTAGTGCAACAAATGAACTTATAGTTATGGGTAAAAATATAAAGATAGCATAATAAATTATTTCAATCAAGAGAATCAGGGTGAATTTGTAGTGAAAGAAGGGCAATTCTGAAAGGAGAGCAGGTAACATGAGAGCACCCAGATGCTGGAAAACAAGACAAAAAATAAAACCCTA